GGTGCAGATTTGGGAATCTCTCCAACGTCCTCAGCCGTGAAGACTGAAGCAAATAAATCATTTAGTTTCTCCGCAATGGCTTTATTGTCCTTGATTGCTCCTTTTATAGCTCGATCATCTAGGGGACCCACAGGTTTTTTAGCATGCTTCCTGCTTCTAATGTACTTAAAAAACATTTTATTTCTTTTTGAGTTTTTGGCTAGCTGTTCCTCAAAATCTTTTTTTGCTTTTCTTATTACATGTTTACACTTGATTTGACAGTGTTTCTGTTCCTTTCTATTTATCTCACTAGGATTGGACTTCCACTTCTTAAAAGATACCTTTTTGTCCCTCACTGCTTCTTTTACATGGTGGTTAAGCCACGGTGACTCTTTTTTAGGTCTCTTGCTATGTTTTTTAATTTGGGGTATACATTTAAGTTGGGCCTCTATTATGGTGTCTTTAAAAAGTTTCCATGCAGCTTTCAGGGATTTGGCTCTAGTCACTGTGCCTTTTAATTTCTGTTTAACTATCCTCCTCATTTTTGTGTAATTCCCCTTTTTGAAATTAAATGCCAGGGTGCTGGACTGCTGAGGTGTTCTTCCCACCACAGGAATGTTGAATGTTATTATATTATGGTCACTATTCCCAAGCGGTCCTGTAAAGGTTATATCCTGGACCTGATCCTGCACTCCACCATTAAGTACACTATACACTATCGAACTGCTACTCAGTGTTCTTCAGTTCTAAGCATGTGAAACAGAATTTATTGCCCCCTTTTAATTGCTGTTATCACAAATCAAGCCTTTCTCTCTGATCATAGTTGTGTGGTAATCCTTTTATTAAGAATTTTTAACCCATAAAATTATATTAATGAACTGTTTCAGGTGACTTTATATTTTAAATAAGTTCATACACACTCTGCCGTGATATGCAGTGAAACTAGCAATGAGAAATCTTTCTAAGATTAAACATGTTTAAGGTGACTTCACCTGTTTGCTTTCATTGTGAAGGTTTATCTGACACAATGTAAAGGAACAGTTCATGTCAAATGAAGTGGGATTTTTTAAGGCAGGTAAAGAAACTTGCCTGGACTTGTTTGCAACTTATCTGCACTTGGTCTCTAACAGGTAAAGCAAAGAATGGTTCACTCATTTGATTCTCCAAGAGACACCTTTTGTAGCTCCTTGAAGTCTATTTAGTTTTTTGTTACAGTACAATCTTTAGATTAACTTAATTTGACTATTAGAAAGAACTGAGTTGGAATCCTTAATTATACTTTGGTCCCAAGCAGTTCTGGCAGCACATGAGAATTTAGCAATGTCTAACTTGAAAAGGCACCCAATA